TCCTGAATGCGTACATTGAGCCAAAGGGCCACGCTGTGACCCCCAGCCCCTGGGAAAGGAGATCTTGTCCCTCACCCCTTGCTCAGGGCTCTTCCTGGGGCAGTGTGATGTGGGGATGTGCAATGCTGAGGACAGCAGTATGGCATGACCTTGTTGAGGTCTTTCAGCCTTGCCACAGCCTTCAACTGTTTCCCCCACAGGCTTCCCTACTGTGTACCACACCGGCACCTCGTTCTTTGAAGGCCCCCTATTCGCTTTTCTTTTTCACCTCAAAAGCTCACTAACTTTACTGATATTTCTCCATCCTGCCTGGCTGTTCCTTGAAAGACAAAGCCATGGGTTGGTCCAGCCTCCATCTGGGTGCCCTATTGTTCTACAGCACTGCCTTTGGAGTGTCATTTCCTTCTCTTCTCTAGTCTCACCCTCCCAAGCCACACTCTGTGGCATTCTTACTCTCTCCTGATTTTTTACCACTATGAAGATAAGCTCCTCCATCGCTGAAACCACCCTTCAAGCAGTTACAGGTTGTGGCTGTGATGCTCTGAGCCTCCACTCCACCAGGCTGAAGGAGCCCCAGTCCCTCAGCCTCCCCACACGGGGCATGTCCTTGAGGCCATGAATCCCGTATTGGCAGACCTCCTCTGGACACTCTCCATTCCTCCCCACTTGTCTAGAACAGGAAGCCCCAAAGAGGGGCACACTAGTCCAGAGGTGGCCACACGAGGTTTCAGTGGAGTGGGATGACAGCCCCCCTGGTGTGGGTGACCCACGCTCCTCCTAATGCAGCTCCACATGCAGCTGGCCTTGTTCATGGTGAGCATGTCCTACTGGCTCCTCTGGCATCCCTTGTAGTGCCCAGGCCCTTCTCCTCAGGGTGCCTCCTCAGCCAGGCAGGTCCCAGGTTGCCCTCATCTACGGGATTATTCTTCCCCCTGATGCACCACTGACCACTTCTCCCTGTAAAATTTCAAAGGGTTTCTGTTGCCCAAATCCCAGAGTTTCTCGAGGTCCCCCTGGGCTTAATTTCCCTTCTGTCAGCTGTTAATATTAGTGTGCGGGTGGTAACCCTGATGGTGGTGTCCCTCACAAGGTAACAGCACAGGGAGCTGCAGGGCACTACAAACACTAACAGGTGGTGCTACTTTAATGCAACTTCTTTCCAATGTAGGATTATCCATGGTGGCCATTTCAGAAACAGCTGCAAAGGAAGCAAAGCCAGGGCCAGTGAGGAAAGAGCAAACAGAGGTGGACTCTTTGTATCGGAGGGTACAAGAAGGATGAAAGGGAAGAAAAGAGGGAGAATGGAAATGGCAGGTGAAGCTAAGGACTAGATCAAGGCTTTTTGGGGGGTACCTTCCAAGAAGCTCTGGACGTGAGCAGCAGTTACCGGCGTGAGCCAAGAACAGCCAGATGATCTGACCAAGCCTATGTCTGACTCACTTCCAGGGTCCTGGGGAATCTGAGTATTTTCCCTACCATGGTGAAGAGAAGACCTGTGGTGGAAAGAAATGCAGAGTCACTCATGTTGAAGGGACCACAGGAGCTCTCTAGACCAATGTCCATCTCACAGCAAGGGCAGCTATGAGGTTACACCAGGTTGCTCAGGAATTTATTCATGCTGGCTTTGAAACCTTCCAAGGATTCACACATCACAACGTCACCGGCCAGCCTGCTCTAGTGCTTCACTCTCTTCGTGGGTAAACAGAGTTTCCTCACACACAACAGGGAAGAGCCTGGAGGCGCCTTTTTGATGATCTCTTGGTAGTGGTAGAAAGGTCATCTTGAGTTTTTCCCAAACACTCTCTTCTCACAATTGAACAACTTCAGCTCTCTCAGCCTCTCCTCTCCTCTCCTCTCCTCTCCTCTCCTCTCCCCCCTT